TATAACTCTTCCAACATTCAAGAATTGGATGTTCATATTTCTTTGAGTCAAATCTGCTTTGTATCTTGACTATTCCATTTTGAATAACTTCTGGGTCTGTTTTCAACTCTTTTTCAAATTGTGGAAGTTGGTGGGTACTCAGTTCGAAGTCAAATAAGAAATATCTAGAAAAAATAAAGCAAATTTAGACAGCATTTCAATGGTTAATCTGAAGTTTGAAAGTTATATTACTTTATACAATTTTTCAGTAAAATCAGACGTTTTGATTGGTTGGCTTTCATGTGTTATCAAAGTATAGATACACGGATTACGTCAAAACTAATTGTTTGTTGTATAAACAGACTGCGTCTCATGCGTACTTTTTTGTTCTCACTACATTTTGACGTCATCTGTGTATCTATTAGAGTACACACGCACAGAAAAATGAGATCTATTTGTTAAATAACAATGCCACTTTCTTATTACATACAACTCTGGTCATAACGGACCCCCTCAGGAAGGAATTGGGGGTCTGAAGTACACCCCAATTCCTTCCAAAGCTTGGGTGGGTATAATTCCAAAGGGGTACCTATTTCGGTGTCAGAAAGAAAGTGAATGCATTTAATCCTGGAAATTAAGTAAAATAAAAATAGCACAAATTTGAATTAAATCTTGAATCACAAGTGTTGAGCAATAGCGTTGCATAATTCCCAGTTTCGGTCCCCTTCAAATATACCCTAACAAAATAACTAAAATAAGACTTGCCTGCCAATATGATGCCATTCTGCATGAGCTCTCATTCGCTGTGGTAATCTTTGCTGTCCTAGATTCTCTAGTTTACGTACAACGCCACCTTTGTCCATAATACTCGTACATGTTTGACGCAAAAGGTGAGCAAACCCTTCCTAGAGAAGGCAATTAAAAAATCGTAAAGGTGCATTCATATTTTTACAATTTTATCATTAAAAGACATTGTGATTATATCTCTTACCCTGCCTAATATTCTTGAAATCAGTATTAGTTCATATCGTGGCATAATTTGGCGTAAAATAAGCAATCAAATCAACAATTCTTGCAGAACTATAAACACATGTGAAGAAGAAGGCCTGGTCTCTAMTTCATTCCACAGGAAGCCCAATTTTGACAAACCGATGGGTTGCCTGTGGTGCACGAGGTTCAAAATGGCGGACGAACTGGTCGAAAATTGGGAATCTCTTCTACCTGAAGTTTTTGACCTTCTCATCAACAAACCCGARAAGATAGTTGATGATACAAGTATTGAGAAGCTTATTGCATGGATTTCAGATATTTGTGGCTCATTTAGCGGTSGTAGAAGTTTTCTCARGCACTTCTCRCTGTTCTTGTCAAATGTCAAAGTTTTGGAGTCTTCCACGACCATTTCTTTTGCCTTGCGAGTTTGTGGGATTATTTGGTGTAAAGATAATAACATTTTMAAGGAGTATCCAGCATGGATAGATTTGTTTGTAAAGGTTAATCGTAGTGAAATGTTGTGGGAAGATGCTGCAGTTCGCCATGCTTACTTCACAGGGTTATCAAGTCTGACCGCGTTTGACGCWGGACAKTTGTGGCTGCATGAAAACAGAGGTAACTAGAACATTAAGTTTTATTTGTATTAGATAAAAGCTATATTTTATTACTGATTTGTACAGTTTACCTTCATTTAGTAAATAATATCTATATTTTATCTAGATTGTTTGACAACAGCTGATAATTGTATGTCCACGGATCGCAGTATGTTCGTGGCTTCTGCAGCAAGATTATTTATTGCAAGGTTTCTCATATCAAGCCTTTCAAGTTCACAAAACTCCTTTACATCCCCACAAGAACAAGTAAAATTGTTAATAGACAATCTACATCATAAAATAACAAGTAACACACAAGATACTACTGACAGRAGTAAAGATAGAATTGCAATTTTAGATGTTATGAGGATGATTATGGACATTGACACAGCTCGTGGTCAAGAGATTCTTTCATCTTCAAAGTTGTTTGTTTATTGTATTGACATGGTTAGCGTGTCTGAAGACTGTGTTTGTAGAAAGTTGGTGGAAGTTCTTGGTGAAATAATAGAGAAAAAMAGGTACTAGTGTATAATGCTTAAATAGTCTCTTTCATGGTTCCCTGCGCCATCTGGAAAGGTAGCCGTGCCTTTACATTGAAGCAAGACGACTGTTGTGCGTGCAATGATAGATACCTGTTAATAATTGTCTGTAGGGGTGAAAAAAGGTTTCTATCATTGGACGCTCAACAGCCATCTTGCTTTGATGCAAAGGCACAGCTACCTTTCAAGATGGCGCAGGGAACTATGAAGAAGACTATTACAAAGGAAACCCAATTAATGCCAGTCTATGTCTTGATTGCAGGGATAATGAAAATATGATGTGGAATACACTATTCTGCTCTGACTCTCACAGCTCAGCTTCTCAAAGACTGCTGAAGTTATGTCTTGATCTTTACCATAGAGGCATGATAATAGACTCACTTTATCTCAGTTCATCTTTGGCTCTGCTGACAGAGGAATCTATTGGGTAATTATTAGGCTCCTATACAGTCAATTTTTCTCTTTGGGCTCCCTGTGGGAAGAGCATGGGACTGGTACAGTTGCCTGTTGCTGAATTTTTCTCTTAACAGCATTACCACCTCAACATAGAAAATTCAAAATAAGAGAAAAAGGAGCAAGGTTAACTTTTGAGAAGTAGGGGTTCAAATTAATGTTTATATTAATATGCAAATTATTTAAATTGACTTTGTCAACAGCAAATTACAGTACATTACATTTACAACAGTAAATTGAAAATTAATAGGCAAATTAGTACACAAAACACATTTTTTTATTAGATTAGTTCAATTTTACATTAGCATGCCTGGAGTCAGTGACAAAGTATGTTTACCACCTAATTTCATACAGGCTATAAAAATATCATCTGAAACTACTCTATTCTGTTATATCTTGCTTCCTAAAATGACTTTTCTTAATTCAAAGATTGCAAATTTGTTGCTGTAGCATGCCTGGAGTCTGTGACAAAGTATTGCCTAATTCACACAGGATATAAAAATATCATGTAAAACAATCCTGTTATTTTATATTGTGATGTTTACCAGCCTATGTTTTTCATAAAATCAACTGAAACTATTCTATTGTTTTTTAAGGATTTGCACCTCAGCCTGGTTGAATATAATCAGCTGCTTAATTAATGCTTCTCTGTCGGCTCTTGAAGACACTACAGCTGTACCTAATGGAGGTTGTACAAATGGTATTGATGTGGAGCATCATGATACTGACTCCTTGGCAAATGCTTTGATGTCATGTAAAGAAACAAGCTCAAAGGATTTGGAGGTATATGAAACCCAGGGGGTGGGGGGTTTCGACCCCGTTTTGTATAGGTACGTGCCGCCAGCGGTCTAAAACCCTTACCCTGTTTAAGACACTAGAAAGTAAAAATCTGTACCCTGTTCAAGACAAATCGGAAAAATAAGGAATTGCTATCTACGCGGTAACCATCAAAACTGCAATTACATGTATACTGACATTTATCAAAGACAATAAGTAGTTTTTGATAACACGTTTATCCTGCTACAGTGAAACGGTATTCCTTATGAAAATATTACCCTGTCTATTCCCCCCCCCCTCTCCGGGGCATGAAAGTGATGCGAAAAATATTGCTTATCATAAATAATTAACAACACCAATAACAGCACCAAAAAAATGGATAGAATGTTAGAGATTATGTTTAGAAAAGTATCAATTTATTTGTGACATTTGGCATTCATTATTATTATAGTATCATTATCATCAACAACAATGACAACAGAACTAACTGCAAAATTTACAACAAAAATAACAGAAGCCACAACAACGACAGCAAAAATAACAAAAACAATTGTAAATTAAAGTGTAATGTGTAGAATGATATGCATTGTATGTAAAGACTGAAAGCCTACAATCAAGCATCCTTCTTTGTTTATCAACAGGGAGGGTTTAGTGGAATTGAAGCCTTGTTTTAGCTTTGTATCAGGTGTAAATGATTGTACACAGTACATATTGTTCTTTCATACTGTACCATATTGATTGGGACTTGAAGGTCAGTTTGGATGGTATTGTAATTGAATTATGATTTTCAAGTCCACACAGATTAAAATTACAGCCCTTATCAAGCCATGGTTGTCGACCAAAAAACTTCAGTTTGAAGTCTTAACTCAAGCTTTGTCATCAATAACAGCAGTAACGTTGAGTGTAAGTCAATAATAATTCTTTGATTTTTCATGCAATACAGCTTCCTCTAAATGTATCAAAACAAAGGCAAAATTTTTTTATTTGTCTTGTGCCAGTTTTAGTGAATATATGATTTATCACCATATGTAAACTAAATGTATTTATGAGATTCTATAGGATATCAGTGTTCTAAATTATGGCCACATGCAACCTACCTTTTTCAAGATCATTTTTTACAATTTTCCCACGTCACGTGAAGGTTACATATTTCCCTTTGCTTCACTTTCTCTTTTTGCTCATCTTTCTCAACACATTGCATAATCTCTTCTAGAATGAACAACCCACCAAAACACTGGCTCAATGGATTGAAATCTCCCTGAGGATTCTCAAACCATCTGTATCTACATCTGATATTCCCGACTTTGGTATCTCAGTCGAAGGGAATGACAAAGCTACCAAGAGTGTCCTGAAAGTTCTTGTGAATTTGTTTAAACATCTGATAAATCAATCTCGTAAGTTGAGTCATGTTTTGTATGTTGTATTTTTTTTATTAATTTTGTGCTTTTGAGAAGTGAAAGTTCAGGTTGTAAACACATTTAGTTGAGTAACAACAGTCTTTTGCAATTCTATAACATTTGGGCTTCTTGTCATGTTATGTAATAATACAGCCAACCTAATAGTTGATTTTAAATACTCGAATTTTTAGCTTCCGTTCGCAATGTCCACTTCTGTAGTTCAAAACGCGACCTTACACATAGAAACATAGATTGACGTAAATTACTGAGAACTAAAGTCGGGTAGCGCCTRGCAGCCCGACTACTAGACTTTATTCGTGTATTGATGTAGATACTGAATACGCTTCGCAAAGCTTTTAACAAACTACATGCTTGAATACCGTAAATGATCTAATGAAAAAGCGTGTACTTTTACTACTACATGTAGTATAGGTAATTGCGGCCATGCAAAAGTGTTGACATTATATTTGTTAACTTTTAATGTTTGTTTACTCTTTGGTTTCCAGTCAAATTCACTGTTGACCAATGCCTTTTATAATGTTATAAGGCAAAGGTTTTCCAATGATGTTTTCCATGCATTTGATAAAATTCTGCTCATTTTGTTTCGCGTCTTCTCTTTCTTCATACTTCACTTTGATATTAGATGGGTTGAGCTGTTGTAGCTTTTTGTCGATTGCTTGTTCCCCACGCATGTGTTCTTTAAGGCGCCTATGAAGGTTGTTTGTTTGTCCCAAATACAGAGGCTTGTTTTTCTCCAGTATCAAGTAGATCGCTGGACGGTCAGGAAAATCTTCTGTTATCGATTTTCCTACTTGATTGTGTATTTTCCGGCAAATAGATGTCATTTTTGCAACTAAAAAGACAAAAATAAAAATGAAAAAACTCAATGTTTTACTTTTTGAGCTTTTTTCCGAAAGAAAAAACGAACTTGTATGTTTAAGATCCTCTTGCTGGTACTGAATGAAGATATTTTAGCAGAGAAAACTATGACTGGTAGAGGCAACAATGAACGTCATGGTACATGGCTGTGAATTAAGATAGTGGCCAATCAGAGTGTAGGATTTGGGGGAATCCCCAAACCTTAAAGGTTCATGATAAAATAGGAAGGACGCCCTATTTTCATTTTCAAGTTATTAATCGGGACGTGCAAATTGTGCTCTCTCTCCCTCCATCTTTCTCACTCTCCCTATATAAGTAATAAAATTGAGAAAGTTATGGGGCATTTTGACGAAGGTCGAAGGGTTACAGTATTTCTTGTCGGCAGTTAACTGACCACTATACAAAGAACAAGGAAGAGGATCGATGAATCAATGAATCAGCGAATGAAAATCTATTAAGGGAAATCTCCTCTTTTAGGTTCATAAACAATACATAAGACTGCTTGACAATGAAAATCGATTATTAACATGGCATGACTATCCTCAAATTAACCAAGACGTCCTTGTCGATATAAGTTTTTGGCGCGAAATGTGAAATATTTTGCATAATTTATCTGCAATTAACACAAAGCAAAAGCGCGAAGGTATGTGTTAGGGATTTCCCCGAGTTCCAGGAACTTAGGTACAAATACATTCTCGGAATATTCAGAATTTTTGTTGTGCTTTTTGAAACGTATTTCGAACAGTAATAAATATTTATTACCAGTATTTTCCGATAACCAGTACGACTCTATAAAGTGTAGTAAGCTCTATTTTCATTTTCAAGTTATCAATTGGGAGGTGACAAGTGTGCCCTCTTTCTTTCTCGATAAATAATAAAATCATTGAGAAAATTATGGACATTTTGACGAAGGTTGAAGGGCCAGTCTTTCTTGTCGGCAGTTAAGTGACCACTGTGCAAAGAGCAACAGGAGAAGTGACCACAGATCTGATTGAAATGAATGCAGGAATCGATAAAATAGTGGTCAAAACGAATCTAACTGCTGTTTTTCTCGTGTAGAAGTTTTAATTTTAGTGTCTGTCTAAAAAGACACACAGTGAATGTCAAAGTATTTCCATTTAATAACTAGTATATCTCAGTAATATCCCGTATCATTCATTATACTTTTCATTTCTAACAATGGTATTTACTTCAGTTATATGATAATTGTTCGAGATAAACTCACCGTTACAAGTAAAATCTGCCTCCTTTCTCGATCCGACCGACGAACGAGTGACTGTCAGACGAGTTCAAACAGTTTCTATACATATGTATTCTACATATACCACAATCTATAGATCAGCCAATAAAAATTGATTATTAAGGGTATTCCCCTCAGATTGACCAATCACTATCAAGTACGAATGGTGACGTCAATTGTTGATATAGGTTTTTGGCGCGAAATGTGAAATGTATGATTAAGCATAATTTATTGACACATAACTGCGTTGTACGAAAAGACGCTTGTTTTGAAATCAAGTAGAAGAACTATTTTCAGAATTGAATCCAATATTTGTCTCAGTCTATTTGCAGTTAAGGCACTTACTTATCAAAATCTTGATCATAGGTTGTTAAAATTATACGTTCGAGTATAAATGAACATTTGCATAGCGAAAACATATACGAAACGGGAGGAAAATATAACGCAAAACCTACGGAACTACATGACAACCTTACCTCAACATCTTGTATATACATGCACATATCGACAACAAATGGTCGTTTTGTGTTGTGAAGTTTCACGAGAGTTGTAAGGTCAACACCAAATACTGTAAAGCAATCAATTGAGTTTTCTATAAAAATGAAATGATCAGTTCTCCGAATTCCGAGAATTAGTGACAGCGACAGTTGAGTGTCGGGACATCTCAAATATCTCAAGTTAGCGCTAGAGACAAATACGGTTGTCACAAGAAGCTTATGGATTTTCCTGTTGATGTGAAAACATTTTGCTTTGTCGCTCAAGTATAAGCGCCGTGAGTTCAACCACTGTGTATCTCAGACAAACAAACTACCGCTAAAGGCTCAAGGAAAAACATCCGTAAATGAAGTCTTTAAAACCATGGTAGAAGAATTTTTTTAAAAAAGCAGATTTCTATCGGTGGGATGAGAAAGAAAAGGAAAAGGAAGCATTCACCTTAATAACGGATTTTTGAAATTGGCGCTTCCAGTGTCCTTCGGCGTGTGATTCCGGGTTAAGCTCAAAAGGTTTATACAGCGTCGCGTATCAAATGAATCAGCCAATGAAAATCGACTATTGAGGGTAATCCCCTCTATAGGTTTATACACAATATATAAGACTGACAATAAGTTAGCCAATGAAAATCGATTATTAAGGGTAATCCCCTAAGATTACAGAACTGTCCAAAAAGTGACCAAAACGTCACTTGTTGATGTAGTTTTTGGCGCGAAATGTGGAATATTTGCATAAATTACCTGAAAATAACTGCAGGTATTTGGTAGGGGTTTCCCCGAGTTCCGTGAATTGATGTACAAAGACATTCTCGGAATATTCAGAATTTTTATTTCTGTCATTTCGGTCACAGTAAAGAATCTTTTTGAAAGTAAACGCCGCTCGCTAGGATGACATTGTTGTTTGCTTTTGTTAACGCTTTGCAAGCCTTTTCTGTAATGCGCAATCTAAGCAGCGCGTTAAATTGAATCCTCTGAAATGATATCTCGTGTAGGCAAACAAGTGAAATCGAATGTAAACATTTCATGAGGTCGGTTTTAAGTAAATTGCTTAACGTCCATAACTGTTTACCACAAGTGGTACTGGTATTATTGTCCTAATTATATAGCCACATATTAATCCCAAATAGGTAAAAGCTGGATTTTTCGTTAATTTTGGAATCCTGTCCAATTAAGAAATTAATTGGACAGGTTTTCAATTGGGTTTTTGTTAAAAGCTGTGGTTGGCTTTTAACTATTTGGGATCAATATGTAATTAATATATAATTAATAGGTAATAAGACTCCATGCTGTCCAATTAAGAAATAATTAGACTCGAAAAATTCCTCTGACTGCCAAATAGTCTCCTTCACGGATACCTGCGCCATCTTGAAAGGTAGCCATGCCTTTGCTTCGAAGCGAGACGACCGTTGAGCGCGCAATGATAGATACCTGTGAATAATTGTCTGTTGGTGTGAAAGAAGGTTTCTATCATCGCACGCTCAACGGTTGTCTCGCTTCGATGCAAAGGCACGGCTACCTTTCAAGATGGCGCAGGTAACCGTGAAGGAGACTATTGGACTCGGCCACGGCCTCGTCCAATTTTTGGCAGTCCTCGGAATTTTCCTCGTCCAATTATTTCTTAATTGGACAGCATGGAGTCCTATTACATATAATAACCGTAACCTCTGTCGTTGAACATGTCTTGAGCTCGCCAAATTAGGCATGGTCGAGCTACTTAAGACGTCTGCAACGGAGGTTAATATTGCTTTGCTAAGTGTTTGTTTCTCTTCTTTGATTTTAGATCAATCGCTTCACAAAGATATCTCAAGTTACTTCTATGATACGTTGGAGACAGTCATTTTTCTTGCGAGATCTTCACAGACGAAACCTCCGGTAAGTGACTTCATAAGCTGTAATTAACTTCTGCTCAGACTCGTACCTAGTCGTTTCTTTTGCTCGTTTACGTGTCGTTGCATCAAGGGAAATCCTAATTCCAACTTCCCTTGATCCTTTTCGCTTGCCAGAGATAAAATAAGAGTATCGACTGGGTACTAGTCTGGCTTCTACTCGTATGAAATTTGAGATGCTGAATTCAAATCAATCTTTYGTTTCCAAGTGAATCAGGCATTTCTTAAGGAATTTCTTCTTGTTACATGTTTTGAAATCTTGGAAAAATCCTCTCTTGTTAATTAGTCCTATTGTTATATTTTGCAGATCATTACCTGCGCATTGGAATCTCTTCGTGATTTATTGGTTTGTGGCTTTCTTTTCTTGAACGAGCWATCATCTAAGGATGCTCATAAGGATGCTAGCATAGATTCGGACGTGACTTGTGATGCTAAAAGACCCAGAATGAATGATGCAAACGACAATATCAAAGAGRGCATTGGTCACGTTGTTCATCTTAGAATGCGTGACCAAAGATGGGAAGTAAAGGACTCAGCTTTGGAGTTTGTAGCTCGATTGGTGAAGTCACATGCAGGTGAGAATTCATGTTTTTTTTTTCAGGGACGCCGTCAAACAACAGTGAATTGGTGGCGGAGAGGTTTTTTTCCTCTTGCTGGACCTTGAATAAATTGATAAGTAGTGAATGAATGAGATTTCTCATCAAGGTTTGTGGTCCCCTTAAGGGTAGTGTCCTTCAAAGCCTCCTAACGTTTGCCGGGTTTCTTGTCCATTCCTTCTTTTTTAAGGGACAGGAAGCTCGACAAAAGAGGAGACCGCGAAAGAGACTACTTTAAGGGCCAAGATCAACCAGCATTGAATGCTTCGTTTTTAAGATTTTTCACTTACTAAAAATGAAGTAACTTCTCATATCCATTCGCATTGCGATTATTCTTCTCAATAAAACGCTTAAATCCATTCACTAAGGCACGTTTTTTTAACTCTACTAGATCTTGCTACAAGTATAGTCGGTTCCCATATACTTCAATACGTGTGGGAAGCTTTAGATGATGAAAATGAAAGCTATGTTCGATCATCTGCCTGGCAAGCTATTTCATATATTGTAAGTCATGAGGTTTTGTGGGCCACACTGAAAAAACAGCAGCATTTGACCGAGGTAAGCTTTAATTGTTTTTAAGGAAAGTTGATTAATTTGTCAGATTCTGGCAAATTTCCTGCAATTTATACTTTATATACCCTGTGAATGGAATTTCCAATATGTGCATACTCTGTAATCTCGAATTGCTGTGAAATGTTCGGCACTTTTTACTGGAAAAGTGAACTCTTTACAGAGTCTGCAAATTTCCTGGAAATAATAGTTTTAAGAACCTATAAATTGAATTTACTTGATATGTACCTTGTAATTTTGATGTCAGGAAAAAGTCTAAAAAAATTCCTTGAAATAATAGTCTTTAGACTCTTGTTTTTTTCCCTTTTTTTCTAACAGAAAGATGTCATCTGCAAAATACTTGATACACTGGAAAACGATAGCGAAGCATTTCCCAGACGAAGCTGTGTCGAGTGCATTTTGCTATGGATACATAAACGAAAACCAATCGTTGGGAGCATTTTGAATATGTCGGAATCCGAGTGTAATCCCGACTACAGTGCGGATTCGTCCGACATAAGATCGCTGTTCACTCGTATCATTAAGTGTGCTTTTGAAGACTTTGATTGGGAGGTTAAGCTTCGTGGAATTCGAGTCATCGAGGCTGTTATGAACGACTTTGGTGTTTCAAAGCCAAGAATTCCAGAAAGTATGGACGACCTGTCCACAAAGAGAGTTCTAAGAGTCCTGCATTGTGTAGAAGCACTGAAACATCTCTTGAAAGCTTGTGATGATTGTGATCATCCAGTATGTGAGAAAGCCCTATCTGTTGTTGGTGCTTTGAAGAACTATTTGTACCCAGACGGGACCAGCAGTCACGTGGAACAGTCAGCGCCTAAGGCTATTGAAAAACCAATTACCACTGTAGACCAACTTACACAGATTTTACTGCCAATTGAAAACCTTTCAGTGGATGTATTCATGGACATCGCATATCGTCTGGATTTGACCTCCTTAAATACGTCTTGTTCTGCTGCAGATATTAACATCAGGTCAAATGCAGCGTGCTTTTTGGAAGATATTTTGGCATGTGCTAAAGATGACACCGAGAACTTGCTGGATTGTTACTGAGGAAGTGTAGGTAGATGATTATATAATTCAGGATTCTTAACGTCATCTAATGGTAAAGAACATTTATCATATATTTACAGCCTTTTGCAAAAATTATGAGAATTGTCGAAATATCTAAATATCATAATATCAAGTGCATGATGGGTAATCCCGCTCGATGCCCTTAGTCCCTTGTCTTTGTAGTTTAGGGGTATTTTTTGGCGACAGACTTATCCGTAGTTCTGAACATTTTCTCGATGTCAACAATGAATTATTCTAGCAAACCCGCGTGTTCCGTACAATATATGGATATGGATATTATGATATTTAGATATTTAGACAATTCTCATAATTTTTGCAAAAGGCTGTAT